TTTTTTACAAGACGAGACCTCAGTGCGGAACTCAGAACTCGAATGGCCAGATGCTACGTCTTCTCTGTGTTACTCTATGGATGTGAGAGTTGGACACTGGATTCACAGACCGAAAAGAGAATAGAAGCCTTCGAAATGTATGTATACAGACGGATGCTGCGAATCTCATGGGTATAAAGGACTACTAACGATGAAGTACTCCAGCGCACGCAGAAACAAAAAGAGATACTGAACACCATCAAGGAAAGAAAAATTCAATACCTGGGTTATGTGATGAGAGGTGGTAGATACGAAATACTGCGCCTCATAATAGAGGGCAAAGTGCAAGGGAAAAGATCAGTAGGAAGACGCCAGAACTCATGGCTAAAGGATTTAAGAAGATGGTTTGAACGCTCGTCTGCGGAACTCTTCTGGGCTGCAGTTTCCAGAGCTACAATTGTCATGTGGATCGCCAACCTTCGGCAGGAGAGGGCGTGATAAGAAGAAGAAGAATGTTATGTTGATATGTCACTAAATAATTTATGTACAAAATGTTATATATATACTTTTTGAATAGTCTTTTTTTAATTAAACAACGCTTTATTGTACAAAAAGCCAAAACACCTTCATCGACAAAGCATTCACAAAACAAAAAAGCACAAAAACAAATATACAAATAATAAAAAAAAATTTCATACAATACAAATCAATTCAAAAAAATGCACACAGGCGTATCTAGAAAATTTTACAAAAGGAAAACTGTAAATGGATAAAATCATGTTATATATCATAAAATCAAGAGTTATACATATTAAATATTAAATAATAGACCTTTAACCAGTGTGTGAGATGATCAAAATTTTAAAATTCAAAATTGTTCATGATTAAACATCAACAAAAAAGTCGTTTACCGCATATAGGGCTCTCACCAGTAAGTATGATTTCAGAGCTTTGCGAAATGCGGGAAAGAATGAAAGTGACTTGATATTCGAAGGCAAATGATGGTACATTTTCTTGGCATTGTACAGTATTGAGCCATTAACTAGTGCTGAGCTCGGGGTTGGCAGATAACTATCGTGCTCCGCATTCCTAAGTGGATGGTTGTGAAGAAGCCTTTCCGGAATAGAGAATATGTGCTTGCGGATTAAGCAAACGGATTCAAAAATGAATAAGGAAGGAAGAGTCAGTATTTTGAAATTTTTAAAGAAATTCTCGCAGTGGTTCTACTGTTTAGTCCCAATAAGTATCGAACTGCTCTCTTTTGAAGTTTGAAAATACAATCAAATTTTGTCACGCAGCAAGTACCCCAGAATGGAAGGGCATAACGAAGATGCGACTCAAAAAGGGCATAATAGACCATTCTAGAGGTTGATGAGTTAAGTTAATCCGTTAAAAGAAACTGATCTTAGCGCAAAACAGACAGAGCTTAGTTTCTTTGATAAGGCTTCGATGTGCAAATCCCATTTTAACGAGTTGTCTACAACAAGTCCTAAGAATCTCACAGAGTCCACGACGTCAATAATGGTGTTATTAAGTACAAAAGGTTGTATAGTACTTTTATATGACAAAACTTTAGTTTTTGAAAGGTTGAGGCATAGGAGATTAGAATCGCACCAAGATTTAATTGCAACCGGTGCGTAAGTCACTGGATATAGTACCGTATGATCGAATAAAAACGGCGTCCAGTTGGCTTAGAAATGACGATCGATGACATTTCCCATATAAATTTACGTATAAAATGACAGCGATCTTCATTTCATAGCCATCGCTGACGCCGTTTTTATTCGATCATACTGTATTATATAGTGCCGTAACATCTGGGCCTCTCAAAGTGAAACCAGTATCGTCCGCAAAGAGGCAGATTTTACCACTAATGTCTAGATTTGCAATGTCGTTGATAAACACCAGAAATAAAATAGGGTCAAGTACTGAACCCTGAGGGACACCACATTCTATAGGCTTACAAGAAGACATAGACGTATCAATCCTCATAAGCTGCCTTCTGTTGCCAAGATACGACTTAAGCCATTCGAGCGGCATTCCCCTGAATCCATAGTATTGCAATTTGTTAACTAAAATATTATGATTTACACAGTCGAAAGCCTTAGAGAAATCACAGAAAATTGTAGCTGTAGAGTGATAGTTATTCAGGCTAGATACATTATTAAAAAGATCGACCATAGCATCATTTGTGCAACTGTTACTTAGAAATCCAAATTGATGGGTAGAAAGTATTTTATATTTAAGGAGAAAAGATAGAAGTCTTTTTTTAACCAATCTTTCAGTGATCTTAGATAATGTGGGCAGGAGAGCACACACAATTGGACGATAGTTCGAAGCTTGATCTTTATCTCCTCCTTTATGCAGAGGAATAACTATTGCTGTCTTAAGGCAGTTTGGAAAATCTCCTTTTTGGAATGACTCATTAATTAAAGTAGTAAGATAGATTAATGTGCACTCCGGAAGTTCAGAGAACATTTTGAGAGTAAGCCCATCAGTCCCAGATGAGAATTTATTTTTAATACTTTTAATTGTACTACGGAGCTCATCTAATGCTACGGGCGTGAAGAAGAAACTGTGTAAATTCCCATTTGCTTTAGGGAGATATGAAAGTGAATCATGGGAAGGAGTTATGGTGTTCACTAAATTTTTAGCCACATTAACAAAGTAAGTGTTTAAATCTTCAGGTGAATTAAAGACTGTGCCAGACGAAGAAGTCTTATTCCTTAAGTCATTTATAATAGCCCAAGTCTCTTTAACATTACCGGATTTGGCTAGTCTCCCATTATAATAAATGTCCTAGGCAGCTTTTATAGTCTTACGATAAAGTTTCACGTAATTATGAAAAAAAAAACGCTGTCTGTGAATTTTTTAAGGTAAGATAATGAGCGCATGTTTTTTGCAGATATACGCAAGCCTGTCGTAGACCAGGGTATACCTTGCTTACTTTTGATAGGCCTAAGAGGAAACGCCTTGCACGCCAGATTAGACAAGGTATTTATAAATCTAGAAAATTCGGAATCGACGTCAGCCGAGAGGACAACCCACTCAGTTGTTAGACATAGGTGGTGAAAATTTAGAAAATTTTTATCCGAAAAAATACGGCCCAATTTGCGCGAGGTATTTAGGCATTTGGATTGTGGCAAAAACGTTGTCAATATTGCCTCATGATCAGAGAAACCTGAGTGAAGGACTCTACAGTCAACGAATTCCGGGTCAAACAAAGACACGACATAATCTATAGTAGTAGAGCCAGTTTTAGTTATTCTAGTTGGTGAGTCAACATGCATGAGTATACCAAAAGAATGAAAAATGGACTGTAGAGACTCCCTAGCTGCACACACACTGGAAAAGTCAATATTTAGGTCGCCACACAAAATTAATTTACTTTTTATAGGTAGGGATTCAAGCAAGCTTAGCAATTTTTGACTGAAAATATGCACGTCAGCGTCAGGTGTTCTGTAAATACAAATAATATAAAGGTCAAAAGCATTATGATAACCGACGGAAAATTCAATTTTTTTTTCGGATATTAGAGTATCGAACTTAGTTACTGCCGTAAAGTCGTTGTTAGTAGATATTATCATAGTACCTCCATGAGATGAGTTACTTCTATTGAATTTAAGTTACTGTAGTGTAATTTTTGACAAATACAGGCTCATCCATATTTAACCAATGTTCAGTTATGGCAACAATTTCTGGAAAATTGAGCTCTTCTAATAAAAGATATAATTCATCCGTTTTATGTCTTAAGAACTGAATATTAATTAAAAAAACACTAAGCTTGCTATCGTCTAGTTTTTCAGAGGTTGCTTGATCCTTTGTTCGCGTCATTTCACCAAAAAAAAAACTTTTATTTGGAGAGCCATTGGAGAAATACTTGGTATGACTTTCCCTAATTCTCTGAAGCTGTTGAAGTTTTTCCGTTGAAAAGAAGGACCTGAAGGCAGAAAGATCAGCATCCACTTCAGCTGAGTCAATACCATATACGTTGTGGAAGCGATAATATATCCTACGCAGGGAATCCGCGTCACTAGGAAGTCCCTCTGAGGCCATATATAATTTGATGCTGGTGTTGGTGTACCCTTCAAAACACACACTTGAGGGTTGATCATGGAGATAGGCGAGGAATAGCCGAATAGGTTTTAATATGGAAGGGTCCCTCAGTCTAGCTAGCAAATAACGCCCACTTGCCTCATCCGAATTTAAAAAAAATTAGTCTTAGGGAATGAATTTCACAAAATCGCTTTTTTTACTCCTTACTAATATTTTGAAAGGAAAACTCGAGACACAAATTACGAATAGGGACGAACAACAAGGTTCTAGACGAAATAGATCAACTACAGACGCCGTATTTATAATTAAACAAATTAAAGAAATGGCAATAGAGTTTACTATATTCGCCTATATCTGTTTCATAGACTTGATTAAATCATTCGATAAAGTGCGCCTATCTGACGTTATAAATATATTGAAGTGCCTGGTAATATTGTGAAAATCATCAGAAAGCTAACTATCAATAACACAACTCAAGTAAACGCAGGGAGTAATCTAACACGTGACATACCAAAACCATTAGGCAAGGAGATAGCCCTAGCCTCTTCTTATTCAACCTTTTAATGGACATCATCATAGAAAAGGTGACTTTGATGAATAAAGGTTATCGAATGGGATACAACAGAGTTAGCATGGTGGGTTATGCTAATGACACATTATCGTGTAGACAGAGGACGATTGCTTAATGTATATGTATATATTTTTTGTGTTCAATTACGTGACTTAAAGAAGCTTTGAGTAAAATTGCATACCTATAAACCTCTAGACCATATAATAAAAAAATATTTAAATAAATTTCTACACCTAATATCACCCTCTAAAAAGATGAATTTTTACTCGCTATTTAAACCCGTATATTAGTTTAAGTCTCCTGTTTACGGTATTGTCCGATGGTGGCAGCACCGGCGGAGAATGCACTAAGCATATATGACCTCGTCTCCCTCGACCTCTACAATAAAATTTACCTGATATTCATACGATGGCTTTAAATAATACAGCGCCATCTCCTGGTGAAACACAGGAGTGGCCGATCCCGATAGCGGAGGTACAATCCAGACCCAGTCTGCTGGACACCCGTTGCGTAGGCGAACTTCGTTCTCCAAATGCTTCATGAATGATTCGGAGGCAGTGTGATGATCGACGATTGTAACGCCCATCTCTTGAAAACTGTGAAGAACAGCAATGTTACACTCTACCATAGCCTTGTCTTTCCAGAGGGTCACAGGGGTGCGCACGTCTAAGCCCATATTTAGTGCTATAGTCTAAAAACATACAATTTAAGAATTTAGTGTATATCACAACATTATGCAATATGAAGTAGTAATAGTGCAGTGCCCAGAAGCTTTTACCTCGGAATTCAATTACTGTGAATGTATTAATGTGAAACCTTCTGTATTATATATTATTATATTATATTATTTATTATTATAGATAAAATACTAAAATGTTTACTCATTTTTTTTCGTTGCTTATAATTTTTTATTTTAGTAATTTTAGTAAATTCTTAATTATTTCATTCTTAAGTAAATTTATTGACGTAAATAAATCTAATGCATAAGCTATATCTATTCTGCTTATATTCTAATCATTAAAATTTTGATTGAAATCGAATTATACAGGGTGGCGCGTCATATACGACGCGGTTTTTGGAAGGAGAACAAAAGTTTGTATTGAAGTGAAATTTTGTGAGCTTATGTAAGTCAATTTAAAGCATTTTCTAAAATTATGTAGAGTTCTACAGGGGGTCCCCCAAAGTTACACATCAAAGTTATGTTTTTTGTAATGGAACACCCTATATATTAATTGATTTTTGGCTTCTAGTAAAAAAATAAAAGTTTGTTTTATTAGAAAAGTATATGACTAAAATGTATAGTTTTCGAAATACATTCACCGGCACGAAAAATGGGCACCTTAAAACTGATGTATTTTAAAGGTTAATAGTATATATTAACCTTTAAAATACATCAATTACAATCTAATATTAACTTAATATTAGATTTTTTAAGCAGTGTGTAGTCAAATTATTTGACTTTTTAGTATCTTTTTCTAAATTAAAAATGAAACTCCCCATCTCTTAATTATACGAGGGAAAACAAAATGTTGATATTTTGGTGAAACTTTGAAACACCCTGTAGAATATGATAAAACAGCAAGAAATTTAAAAATTATTTTATCATCTAGATACATCCTTTCTCGATGGTTTGTTTTATGGTTTATCTCATTAGTTTTATTTTTGTTGGAAATATTCGATTTTGAAGAAGACACTAACATTCTTTTCGTAATTTTTACACTAAGACCGTGCCTTTGCTTTTGGGTCTAGTCAACACATCTAGTAAGTTCTGGCCCCATGCAGACCTTCTTGACATAAGATTTGCTTCATTTAATCTTCTTCTTATAGTCCGTTAGTTAATATGTACGTTCCTTAAGTGTAATTCATTATCAATTTGAAAAGCCGGCAAAGGGCGGTTTCTTAGAGATAAACTTACAATAAGTCGATTATCTCGATTAAAAGTTCTCATACGAAGGTACTTGGATGTCTAGATTGACGTCCTCATGGACGTGGTCATAATTCAAGAACCACTTAATATACTCTATGGTATTAAGGTATTTTTGGAACCGGAATTTTATAGCAAATTCACTGGACTAAACAAATATAGATATATATTTGACTCACCCTGTATAGCTATAAAAATATTTTTGAAATATGAAGTACCATTAAACACATATTTTGTAAAAGGTTTGGGGTGAAAATCTCAAATAGGAATCCTGATGCATAGCTTTTCCATCTTGTATGTATGCATTTGTATATGTATGTTTATTTAAATACTAAAGTGAAAGCAACGAATTTAAATGGGTAAACTTTGTAATATATCTTCTTAACAATACAATGCAAAAAGTTTAATAAAAATTCGTTCACAGTAAATGAATTCCGAGGTTTGTATGCAATAAAGGCTTAAATGAACTCCACTATAATAATAATTTTTATTTTATTAGTTTTAGAGAGATTTTCTATCAGTCTGTCCACTTAACTAGTTAGGCACAATATAATCTGCTAAATGTGATATGAAATGAAATAAAAATAAGGTGTACGAAGTTTATTAAAACTGAAGGTAGCTCTTCGTTCGCAAATATTTTTACATTCTAGAAGAGTTGCATCAACTTCTCCTACAACGCCTGTGCATTCTTGCATATTTTGTAAGTTGCTAAAAATTTTCTTGCACTTGCAGATGATAGATTCAGTCCTATAAATTTTCAACTTGAGTGCAACTCTTATTAATTTTTCTACGCTCACCGTATTGTGCTCTAGTAAACCTATTTTCATGATCTTTGGAGCAATTTGTAGCTAAATTATTTGACATTTTAGTATCTTTTTAGCCGACCATGCCAATAGGTATGGTAGGCTATTAGGATCGGCAAAAAAAAGTTTTTTTAATTTCACTCAAAATGAGTTATTTGGGCCATAAATGACCCAAACACAAATATTTTCGTGGTGTCTGTCTGTCTGTCTGCCGTCTGTAAAAGATGCGTATTCATTATCCGCACGAACGAACGAACGAACGAACGAATGTTCGCTAGTGGTATGGACGGGGACCGCACGATAGGACCGCACGATAGGACCGCACGATAGGACCGCACGAGAAGACCGGAGGCATTTGTTGGCGAACGCCTTTGATGTACCGACTCGAAACGGATGGTCGAGCGAACGAACGAACGAACGGCCGCATGCGTTCGGTCCCCGTCTAAAATATACCGCACTTCCATTCGTTCAGTTCGTTCGTTCGTTCGTGCGGATAATGAATACGCACCTTTTAAGGTGCGTATTCATTCACTATTCAGCCTGGATAATGAATACGCACCTTAAAGGTGCGTATTCATTATCCGCACGAACGAACGAACGAATGTTCGCTAGTGGTATGGACGGGGACCGCACGATAGGACCGCACGAGAAGACCGGAGGCATTTGTTGGCGAATGCCTTTGATGTACCGACTCGAAACGGATGGTCGAGCGAACGAACGAACGAACGGCCGCATGTGTTCGGTCCCCGTCTAAATATACCGCACTTTCATTCGTTCGTTCGTTCGTTCGGATAATGAATACGCACCTTAATACAATAACTCAAAAACCGCTGAACCGATTTTAACCAAATTTGGCACAAAAATACTGTGGCACCCGAGAATCTGGCCATTAGTTTTTGGTGGGGGTGGGGGTTGGTAAGGGGGTATAGGAGGGGGTTAAAAATTTAAAAAAATCGTAACTCCAAAATTGCAGTAGCTAGCGAAACGCAGTTTTCAAATTAAGATTAGGAATAATATTTGCAACAAAATTTGTAATAACATCAAAATCAGTCAAAGTCGCAGTTTTCGAGATATTAACATATTTTACTATGGGCGGCTATATGTGCCTCCCTGCGCCAATTTTTCTAATTTAAAAATGAAAGTTTCCATCTGTCAATTATATGAGGGAACGCAAAATATTGTTATTTTGGTGAATGGTTGGAACACCCTGTGGAATATGTTAAAAAGCAAGGAACTTAAACATTATTTTATCATCTTTTCTGGATAGTTTAATTTTTGGATTATCTCAATAGCTTAATTTTTTTGGAGATATTCGCCTTTGAAAAAAAAAACACTAACATTCTTTCGTAATTTTTACATTAACACCATGCCTTTGCTTTTTGGTCTTAGTCAAAACAGACCTATGAAATATTGTTTATGATTTATGTAATGTCATTGTTATTGAAATATCATATTATTGCTATTGGCTGTTTAAATCCAGAAGTTGTATCCGCTATAGTTGCTTTACTTGAAGATAATAGAGATCAAAATTATGTTGCTAACATATTTAGGTACGCACGCAGTATAGTCGCTTCCTTGAGACAAGTTCATATGCTGAACGCTGAGAAAACTTCGTATGAAAACTTCGAATCGAGACTATCAATTTATTGCAAGTTTATCGCTAAGAAACCGCCATTTCCCAGCTTTTTATAATTCACCTAAAAACGTACATGTAAGTGTGCGGACTGTAAAAAAGAAGAAGCAATCTTATGTCAAGAAGAGCTGCTTTTGGTACCACAACTTACTAGGTCTGTTGACAAAGACCAGAAGCAAATGCATGGCTTTAATGTAAAAATTACGAAAAATGTGTCTTCTTCAAAAGCGAATATCTCCAACAAAAATAAAGCTACTGAGATGAACCAGAAAACAAACTATCGATAAAGGATGTACTAGTAGTAAAGTTATTTCTAAATTCTTTGTTGTCTTAACATATTCCATAGGGTTGGTTATCAAACTTTCACCAAAATATTAATATTTTGTTTTTCCTCGTATAATTGACAGACGGGAACTTTCATTTTAATTTAGAAAGTAGTACTAAAAAGGTCAAATAACTTAGCCACATATTGCTTAAAAAATGATCAAAATTGGCCCACTAGAACAAAAACATATTAAATGTTAAAATACATCAAAATTTTAAGGTGCCCGTTTTTCGTGCCAGTGAGTGTAGTAATCTTCAGACTACCAATTGCTTAACATAACTTCATTTTACATTTTTAGTTTAATGTAATAATTTACGTTAATTCTTTAATTAATTGTCGTTAAAAAACAAACCAACAATACAGGCAACCAAAAATAGCCACCCAGTACGAGAAACTGGCAAATGAAACGAGGCACCTGATAATGGTCTAATTTCCTTTAAGTTGGTTATTCCGTATACAACAAAAAAAATCCAATAAAAATTTCTGACTGTAAAGTGAACTGCATGTTAATTACAGCTAGTAAAATTGCGAACTGTAAAGCGGCCTTAACACTCTTTGTATTAACAAATGAAAATATTTGTATTTAATTGAAATTCTTATATCTGTACCCCAGAAGGAAACTATGTGAAGTCACAAAACATAGTTTTGAGGAAAAAGAATTTAAAGTTCTTTTTGAAATTATTTTCTAATTCCTCGTTTATTATTAAACCCATGGTTGTAATATTTGGTATATGAACGACTTATTTTGAACTTAAATGAAATGTAAAACCAATTTTTAAATAAATTACCAATACAATTACAAATTACAAAAACCAACATTTTTTGAGTGATTTAATATAATTTGTATATTAAAAAAGAAAATTTACAGGACTTAACTTATATTAAGTCCCTATTTATGCCAAAATTAATAAAACTAAACTAAGTCCAAATAAAGGTATGTTACTAATATAATAAGAACATTTAACAGAAAATTGTAAAACATGTATGTAGGTTGCAATTTGGAACC